AAAAATTTAAAGGGAAAAATATTTGAATTTCTGGTGGCTCAGTGATAAAGAAATGCCTGCCAATGTAAGAGATGTGAGTTCGGACCCCTGGGTTGGGAAGATCCCATAAAAAAGGAAATGGCAACCCACGGCGGTATTCTTGCCTGGAAAATCCAATGGATAGAGGAGCCTGGTAGGCTGCTTGAGTCCATGGGGTCTCAACAGAGTCAGACAGGACTTAGCTACTAAACAGCAACAACAAACAACATGCATCAGATACTGATAGGTCAAATGCATTACTTTCCAAATGTCCAATGATTAAGTTTCACAAGTATTTCCTACATACAGAAGTATGAAAATACATACTTACACATATTGCCTAAACATTAATGTCTTAAATATTTTGTATCATATTTATTCTTTGAGTAAGGCATTCAAAAGATTTTTATGTTTAAATTATTAGTGAAGATGATCAACTCATTTGTGACTGTTTTACTTGTTATTCTTACTTGGGAGTCTCTCCAGGGAATACAATGCATTTGTTATGATAAAGTTCTCAATATGGAAAACACATCTCCACATAATGAATTTTTCCCTTGGAAGTTGAAATGCTTAATGAATTTAAAATATTACAAATGTTGATACTACAGGAAAAAAAAAGAACAGGTAGTTTGGATGCAGTTGCCAGTTACTTGGTAATATTTAAAAAGAAAAATAAAGCTTATAAACTTTGAAAATGTCTTTGAATTATAAATCCACATGAGAATACTTTCCCACTATTTTTTTAAGATGAAAATATTTCAACAGAATTGACTCTTGCTAATACTGCCCTAGCATAGTATTATTTCCACAATATTAAAACTGCATTTATAGGTTCTCACTTTTTAAGCATAGTACATGTGTATTTACAATTGCTTTTTTTTTATCCTGATCACATATTGATTATTTGCCTACAAGGTCACAGTGAGAGAAAAGATGTGTCTAAGAAGCAAAACTATGAAACATTCATTCATTTAATTTGAATGTATTTGGAAAAAATAGGTAATGGATAACTTTTTTAATGAAAAAAGCAAATATTTGAGACTCACTGAGTTATTTCTTAATACTTACATGAAAATTGTGTTTCAAAACTAGTTTGCATTCTGCCCTAAAGATAAAATCAAGAAGTTGGCCGAATATGCTATCCCAAATTGCACTCCTGGCACAGGAGGGGAGTATTTCAAATTCTTAAATAAACCTTTCCTTAATTGTAAAATACATATGATTCTACAAAAAGTATGAATGCTACTGAAATTCTGTTGCTAGGATGAATTTATTTCAAACTGGTATTTATTATCAAAAATGATTTATGATATGTGCTCAGTCCAAATAAATGCAGAGAGCACTACAGGAGGTGTGGTGTTGTGAGACTCTACAAAGAGCCTTCTTTCTTTCATTAACTTCCACTTCTGGTTGCTATAGCACCCGTGACAACCATAAATTTAGAAATTCTCACCATCTGCCCACGCCCCCTTCTAAGGTTACACACAAGCCCACTTGAACAACCAAAATAGCAAACAAAAACTCCATAAGCAATTTTAAAGTTTTTTCTTTTCAAATTATAGATACCTAAGTAAATAATCCTAGGGCTGGGAATACACTTTTTAAAAATATAGTCTTTTTTCCTTTTTTTTTTTAGAAAAGCAAAGTCCCTAAGGAAAGATCATAACAACTACAGTGTTCAGTTGTTGAAAAGAAAAATGAGGAAATGATTAGGAACAAATTGACAGATTTTTATAAATTATCAAAATAAATAAACTTTTTTCAAGGACCAATTCAGACAGCCTTAAAGGTGAATCTGTATCTTTCATGATTTTCAAATAGTAATATTGGAGTACAATAGTACAGGTCAATATTTATATGCAGTCAATGATGTAATCTTAGAAGGATTTGAGATTTGAGAGTGAGTTGTCTTCTTCTTTGTTCTTCTGAGGTCTATATGTTTTTTGTATTTGTTTTGCTAGCTTTAGAACAATGATTTCCAAGTCATTAAAAGATACTGATATAACTATTGTGCATGCTAAGTGGCTTCAGTCCTATCCAATTCTTTGCAGCCTACCAGGCTCCTCTGTCCATGGGATTCTCCAGGCAAGGATATTGGAGTGGGTTGCCATGCCCAACCTAAGGATCAAACCCACATCTCTTACATCTCTTGTATTGGCAGGCGGGTTCTTTATCACCAGCACCACCTAGGAAGCCCTGATATAACTATAGACTCCTGGGAAAAAGATGTTTTAAACTCCAAACTCACAGGTCAAAAATATAGAGAAATGTCCTTAAACTACGTTGCTTAATGTTAAAAAAGAAAAAAAAAAAAGCTGATATATAGTTTTTTCAATGTTTCAAGAAATAACATATTTTATCTTTCCCATTTTGGGAAAAAATAGCATTCTACTTTTAAAGAAAGTAACAAATATAAATAAAGTTCTGGGACAAAAAGTCTATATATCCTTATTGAATCATATTCCCCCAGTACTCCATGGGAGAAAAGTGTTACACGCTTTTGTGAACTATATGATATCTTTACAATGATTAAATTTCCAGCTGTTTTAAGATAGCATAAACATTCTCCAAGATTTTAAGATATTATTCTGTAGTCTCTAAAATCTAGAGACTTCTCCATCTAGAAAAGCTTTGTGTAAAAGGAGCAACCATTAGAATATATTAAGATAGCATGATTCATGCACAACAGTCAAACTTCTGGTGGCTTCATATCTTTGGCCCAAAGTCTAAAATTTGAAAGTGAATTAGGCAACAGTGAGCTCACAAGACTTGTTTTAAAGCCATTCCCTGGGCTCTATAGAGTATTGAACTATCTAAATCCACTTCTTCAAATTCAGTCTCCTCTCCTGGTAAGTCTCCATTTCCTCATCCTCCTCTAGAATATGACTCTTAAGGTTTGTTTCAATGTAATAGCTCAAGAGAAATCTTAATTTCTGGGCTCACAACATATTAGGAAGAGCCAAAGTTTTTTTTTAAAAGCACATAAAATATATGAAATGGTCCTGCTTCAAAAATGAAGTGATGAGTCAAGTTAAAATTACCTTCAGTATCTCTGTTCACCAAGTCAAACAAGTGTGTAAGATATTTCAGAAAGGGATCTATCAAAAATGACTTAATAATTTGACTTTCAGTTTTGGCTTGTGATATTCAGTTGTTTCCAAATTTCACTTACCCCAAAGTTACTTGATGGTCTTAATTGTGGAAGGTGCTGCTATACTTAGATCCTGATTATATCACCATATCTCACCATCTCTTAGGTGGTGAAGTATTTATTCTTTTCACCTTAAAACGCTGGCAGGCAATTTGGAACTAGATCTTCCCTATTTCAATATGAAAACAATCTATAATACTTTTCACCTCAAATATAACTGTGATTAGTTAGAATCAACACAAACTTATCAAATACAAAATAATGATTATTAAAATGATTATTTTTAAAGCCCCAGACATATTCGTTGAGAAGTCAAAGACGCTTGTCTTTCTTCTAGCACACCTGAGTCTTTCAATCATAAAACATAAAAAGCTAAGATTTTCTTTTCACTTTGTCTGCACAGTACCAACCCCCCTGCCCAAAATTTGCAAATCAGAAAATTTTAATCAGTTAAATAAAATGTTCAGCCTTAACAAAATGCTCCCTACTTCATTCCTAAATATCAAATTTGGAATTAGAATTTCAGGCAGTAGGATTCAGTCACTTGTGAATCATGACCTAAATTAATGAATAGAAATGATGATACCTGCTCTGTAATTGGGTTATTTTCAGCTATTGATTTCATTTTTCTGTTTCTCAATTTTTTACCTGCAAGCATTAGCATAAAACTATAATTCTTCATTGGAAAGTGAATCATTTACTTTAAAAACCTTTGGTATCTTACTAAAAAATGTAAATACATAAAATGAACAAATAACTTCAAATCCAACTCAGTGGATGTTTGATAAAGGTTCATAAAAGTGAACAAACTGTTCAGACACTGCCACAAAAGTAAAGGTGAGTTAAAAGAGCCATTCCTCCCAAGGAGTTTTCAATGCAGTATGGAATGTGAAATGACACCTATGATTGTATCACAGCCTAGAGAAAGACAAGTGTTACAATAGAAAAAGAAAATACTAATATGGGTATTCAGAGAAAAAAAATGAAGACTTTGTCCTGATTTGCTAGATTCTCTTTCCTGTTCCAGTTATTGTTAAATGACACTTACATATTTATATGTCTATATCCTCAACAAACTTTCATGATGGCAAGAATAAATAAATACTATGCTATCTAATAATAATTTTATTATGACTATTAGTTTAATTTGTTCTGAGTCTGGATGAAACTTGGAAAGTGAGAAGACATGTATGAGGAAATAAAAGAATTAATGAACACATTCAGGTGGTGAAAATCAAATGAGCTATTTTTGCATGCAGTACATTATTAAAGTTGTTTATGACATAGAGCTTATGTGGTCAAGAGTATTCTTTTACTTGCACATTGAAAAAAATCTAGTAATAAACATCTTTCAGATGTTTCTAATACTAATAGTTTAGGAAAAAATAGGAGATATTTCTATTTGACATAGTTATGGTGTTTTGTTTGGATGCATGTTAATCTAGTTTAGAGTTTTTATGGAATGAAACATAAGCTTAGAATCCAGAGATCTGGGTTTGACTAGCCACTGACAGTGATCAGCTGACTGACCTTGGGAAAGTCATTGATTCTCTCTGAGCTAGGGATAATAATTTGTTATTTGATATTAGCAAGAGAATTAATTAGAATAAATCCTAGAACTGTGTTCAATAAAACTTCTTTTATTTTAAATAAGGAAGTGATGATAATCATAATGCAGTTTTGAAATAAATTCTCATCAGTAACATGGTCTTAGTGTGAACAAAATATAGCTGATGAGTGTAAACATCTATGTAAACACAGGCATACATGAAAGCAATGGTGTTGGCAGATTTTGAATATTTTAGGCATCAGTCAGTAGCGCTCTTACCTGTTGGTGGGATTATCCCAGGAGACATAAGACCCGGGACAGAATGTGGCATGATGTGAGAGTTCTCTGGGGAGGTGACACTTTGAGTCCTCTTAGGAGGCCTTCCAGGTCTAGAA